TTGGGACCCTGTGAGACCCCTCAGGGTTTAATGTTTGGGACCCTGTGAGACCCCTCAGGGTTTAATGTTTGGGACCCTGTGAGACCCCTCAGGGTTTAATGTTTGGGACCCTGTGAGACCCCTCAGGGTTTAATGTTTGGGACCCTGTGAGACCCCTCAGGGTTTAATGTTTGGGACCCTGTGAGACCCCTCAGTGTTCAGGGGTTAATGTTTGGGACCCTGTGAGACCCCCCCCCCAGGGTTCAGGGTTTAGTGTTTAAAGTCTGACTCTGTGTTTAAACTCTGCAGAGTTCGAGCTGATGCACGTGGATGAGTTCATCGATGATCTGCTGCACGCAGAGCGGGTCTGTGACATCATCCTGCCCCGGCTTCAGGTCAGTCCAACACCTGGGTTCAGACCTGGGTTCAGACCAGAGTCTGGACCCTCTCAGACTTCCTGGTGGGTTTTGTGATTTTAGCTGCCTTTTCCTCTCAGTTCTCACGCCTGGGCTTTATATTTTACATTAAATATGTTCATTAAATAAAGCTCCTGAACCAGAACCGGACCGACACGCTAAAGGTTTGTCAGGGGTTGGGTTTAGGAACCTGAACTGTTTTTCCTGGTCCTGGTCCTGGTCCTGGTTTAAAGAAGCACACGTTTGTCTCTGTTGACAGAAGAGGCAGGTCCTGGAGGAGGCGGAGATGTTGGACCCCAGGATCAGCGCTCTGGAGGAGGACCTGGATGAAGTGGAGAGCAGTGAGGAAGAGGATGAGGAGGAAGAAAGGGTAAACCCCCCTCACACACACACACACACACACACACTGCTGGTTGTTAGAGGAACTGCAGCTGGAGCTGCTGCTTCAAGTTTCTTTCATTTAACAAAGCTAAAACTCTTCTGATTGGTTCCTGCAGATGGACCGGCTGCCGAGCCCCGAGCCTCACAGACGTAGTTACCGTGACAACGACAGGCCCCGCCGCTCCCCGTCACCTCGCTACAGACGCAGCCGCTCGCCCCGACGGTTCGTTTACGACTTGAATAAATAAATAAATAAATGTTCCATCTGGTTCCTCCTGGGTTGATGAACTGTTTGTTTGTTTGTTTCTCAGGAGGAGCAGATCTCCAAAGAGACGAAGGTATGACTGATGTTTTTTTTGTGTGTGTGTGTGTGTGTGTGTGTGTGTGTGTGTGTGTGTGTGTGTGTGTGTG